AAATCTGTCCTCACACGCCATGTTGTAAATGTACACATGTTTTATTTTTACTGCAGTATTCTGGATCATTACTTCATGATTTCTTCTTGAACTTCTACTGTTCCATCCTTTAATCCTTTAAGTTCCTCTGCTTCAAAATGTTGCTTTAGTAAACGCACAGAAGGATCATCAGCAAAATGTACAGTGGTCACTTTGTGTCGAAGTGGCTCAGATAACAGGTGTGACGTTACGCTCGGCTCACCGGTTTCTCGGCTCACGAGAAAAGACGAGAGGATTTTAAACATTAAACACATTCTGGAGACATTTCTGCACCAGTTCATGGAGGAAATGTCTTTTTTTATGAAAACACAGCGAAACACAGGTGAAATTCAAAACCTAAAAATCTTACAAAACGTGTTTTCTTATTCTGCAAATAAGTCCTCAGTGTCCACCGTGTCCTCCGTGCCCTCATCCTCCTCACTGTCCTCATCCTCTTCAGTGTCCTCATCCTCCTTAGTGTCCTCATCCTCCTCCGTGCCCTCATCCTCCTCAGTGTCCTCCGTGTCCTCATCCTCCTCACTGTCCTCATCCTCTTCAGTGTCCTCATCCTCCTCAGTGTCCTCATCCTCCTCCGTGCCCTCATCCTCCTCAGTGTCCTCCGTGTCCTCATCCTCCTCACTGTCCTCATCCTCCTCACTGTCCTCATCCTCCTCCGTGCCCTCATCCTCCTCAGTGTCCTCCGTGTCCTCATCCTCCTCACTGTCCTCATCCTCCTCACTGTCCTCATCCTCCTCACTGTCCTCATCCTCCTCCGTGCCCTCATCCTCAGTGTCCTCCGTGTCCTCATCCTCCTCCGTGCCCTCATCCTCCTCAGTGTCCTCAGTGTCCTCCTCATTGTCCTCAGTGTCCTCAGTGTCCTCAGTGTCCTCATCCTCCTCAGTGTCCTCCTCATTGTCCTCAGTGTCCTCATCCTCCTCATTGTCCTCAGTGTCCTCATTGTCCTCAGTGTCCTCCGTGTCCTCATCCTCCTCAGTGTCCTCACTGTCCTCATTCTCCTCAGTGTCCTCATCCTCCTCAGTGTCCTCACTGTCCTCATCCTCCTCAGTGTCCTCAGTGTCCTCAGTGTCCTCCTCAATGTCCTCAGTGTCCACAGCGTCCTCATCCTCCTCACTGTCCTCATCCTCCTTAGTGTCCTCAGTGTCCACAGCGTCCTCAGCGTAAAGGACACCTGTGTATGTATCTGTAAAGGAACTACGTTCAGTACACGTTTCCTTCTGAAATGTACTGCAGTATAAGTATACAGTAACAGTGAAAGTACCTATACTTCAGTACAGCAGTCAGTAAATGTGCTGAGTTGAAGACAGCATGGCTCTGCACTGTGACTCAGATCAGAAAGATTTAATCCAGAATCCTGCAGCAGCGTGTGAACAGGTTTCCAGGTTTCCAGGTTTCCAGGTTTCCAGGTTTCCAGGTTTCCAGGTTTCCAGGCTGTAGGCTCCAGGCTCCAGGCTCCAGGCTCCTGGCTCCAGGTCACCTGCTGTGTTAGGAAGGCATTATCTCCCTCAGATGAACTCAGCCTTGTTTCTTCCTTTCAGAGCTCTTGGTGGAGACGCTGAGGATTGTGGGACTTGTGGTGCAGAATCTTCTTCTTCTTCTCCTCTGTGACGGCAGGATGTTGGGCTCGGTGCTGCTATGCTGTTGGTCCTTCAGCCTGCTCCGGCTCTCCTCCTCTCTGGTTCACGGAAACATCCATCTGGACGATGGTCCGGCCGCCGGCCGCCGCGCCGAGACCGCATACCTGTCTGACCTCGGTCAGTAAGCCCTGTCCAATCAGTGACGCACCACAGCAGGACTCAGAGAAAGAGGGAAAGTCTGATGACAGATCAGTCAGATATCAAGCTGAAGCACGAGGACACAGTGGAAACACATGAAACACTGCAGGTGTTGGATCAGTGTGCCGCACTGAGGAAACGCTGGGTGATTCTCACAGTTTGTTTCAGCAGGATGATCCTCTCAGGGTCGGTCCTGTTCTCCACTGGCTCCTGGTACTCCGGTAGTTAAAATCAACACGTGTGTACTTTAAATGATCAAATCAAAATATCAGGTCAGATCTGGTTCCAGTCACTGAAACAGGTTCAGTTACTCTGCAGTCCTGTTGGTCCACAGTGATCTCACAGTGTGATGAGGACTTTGTAGTCCAGCAGATAAGTTTATGATGAGTCTCGTGCAGCTTCACCGCAGGAGAGGATCTGAGTCACACCTGAGCAGGAAGACCTGGTGATGTTAACCCCAGCTGTGAGAACTGTGAGGACTAACTCCTACAGAAACTTCAAACATCAGGGACATCCTGTCTCAGAGTAATGTAGAGAACTAGTCCACTGCTGCAGCTCGTGTTCTGACAGGAACCAGGAAAAGAGATCACATTTCTCCTGTTTTAGCTTCTCTGCATTGGCTTCCAGTAAAATCCAGAATAGAATTTAAAATCATTCTTCTTACCTACAAAGCTCTTAATGGTCAGGCACCATCTTATCTTAAAGAGCTCATAGTACCTTACTACCCCACCAGAGCACTGCGCTCCCAGAATGCACCTGTGGTTCCTAGAGTCTCCAAAAGTAGACTAGGAGCCAGAGCGTTCAGCTATCAAGCTCCTCTCCTGTGGAACCAGGTTCCAGTTTGGGTTCAGGAGGCAGACACCATCTCCACATTTAAGAGTAGGCTTAAGACTTTCCTCTTTGATAAAGCTTATAGTTAGGGCTGGCTCAGGTGAGTCCTGAACTACAGTACATTCTACTGTGACTGTGTACTGTGTTTTTCCATGAGATGATTTTAATGCACGTGGTTCTTCTGATCTAACTGCTGTGGGTCGACTGAGAGGACTAACGTGGACTGGAAGGTGAAGGTCGGACCTGTATTTGCGCTGCAGATCTCTGAACGAGCGTTTGGCTTTTTGTTTCATCCTGAAGGCAGAAGGAGGGATGAAGGGGGACGACAGGTAACAGGTCTGCCTTCTGTCTTGTGTCCTGCAGAGAGAAGCCACGTCCCCGACGCCGACCTCCTACCTGTGGACTCAGTGGAGGATCACTTCCTGATGGACCCAGGGTCCTACGACGAGGTGGGTGTGGCTTATTCGCTGTTAAAGAGACAGTACGCTGCGTGATGACGTTTCTTCAGCTGTTACCGTGACTGGATCTGCTTCCTGTTTGTGTTCATCTACTTCCTGTTTTTCAGGACTCGTCCTTGCAGCTGCAGGGTCGGGCCATGCGCTCGCCTCGCCGCTGCATCCCCCACCAGCAGTCGTGTCTGGGTTACCCGCTGCCCTGCTGCGACCCCTGTGACACCTGCTACTGCCGCTTCTTCAACGCCATCTGCTACTGCCGCCGAGTCGGCCACGCCTGCCCTCCCAGGCGCACCTGATGCGTAGAAAGCGTGTTGATGCTCTTTCTGTTGCGTGTCGAACAAAATGTGCTGTTTGTGTAATAAACCACTAATTCAAAAAGATGTTAACGTGTTTCTTCATGAAGTTAAAATATGTGTTTTATACTTTTACCTTCCCGTCTTTATGCTAAGCTAGGCTAACACATCCTGCAGGGAGGTGTCTGTATGAGCCGGCTCCCATCTCTAGGATACAGGTATACAGGATGTTAATCATTCATTAACCATCCTGATCTAGTAGATTAGTGTTAGTTATATACAGATGTGTAGTATTCAGTATACAGGTACTTATTATATAGTATTATATATATTATATTATACTTAACCCTCAGTATGACAGAATATTTCAGTTCTGCAGATGAAGAATCTCAATAATCCGTGAATGATTCGTTCTTTGATTATTTTGTTTCAAAACCGAATCGTAAAAAAACAAAAAACAAGTTGTTTTCTGTTGTTTTAAAACCAAAACAGAAAATATCGATTTTGATATTTAATGTGTTGCTTTGTGTGTTGATAAACCTGCAGCAGATACACTTGAGCGATGTCATTAAGATGAGCCTCAACATCAACATAAGGCTCAATGTTCAAAAAGAAAGAAACAAGCTCGTGCTGAATGTGAACATTTCAGGCATTGTTTATTCCTGTCATTATTATTATATGCAGCCATTTTGCTACAATTAGAGTAGAGAAGACTCAACAGCTGCGGCAGCCTCTCTGCACTGTTTGGACCCGACCTTGGAAGAATTTAGAAAGTTGCCTCCAGCTGCAGTAGCACATGGATCATGCGTAAAATCCGGAGCCAGAGGGAACGACCACTGACTGTCCACTCCGCGGGTTCCACTGGCAACACAACCCATAGAAATACCATATTGACCCCCCAAAATATTACAAATCGTGTTTTCAGGGGAGCTCATGTCTTATTAAGAGGAGTCAAGCTCCCCATGGCTCCCCTGTAGTTTGGACCTGGTTGTAGGCTTGAGGGAAAAAAACCTTGATTAACATATTCGGGTATTTTCTTAGATCGCTCAAGTAACCAGCTGCTTCAGATCTGCCCAAAACAAATGCTGCCTGGATGCTGACGTCACTAGTTGACTGGAAGTGAGAGAAGAGTGTTTGAGTGGCAAAGCAACGCGCCTCAAAGAGGAGTTGTTTTTATTCCAGTGAGTTCGAACCCAGCTTCACAAAATCTTGCAAGAAAAGTGACCTACATGTTCTGTAATTTCTTTTTTGTATGTGGCTGTAATATACAATCATATTCGCCACAGTCACTGTGAGACACGATGCGACTTGAAAAGAAATAGCCTATATGATGTGGGTCTGGACGGAGGCAGACCACGTACAGCAGCCGGAGAACCAGTAGGGATACAACAGCGGTCACAGATAGAACAGAACGCAGCTGCTGTGTTTTTCCGTTTAAAACAGAAAACCCCAAAAACGACTTGTCGTTTGGGTTTTCTGTTTTGGTTTTGAAACTAAATAATCAAAGAACGAACACTACACGGGTTAATCTTCACATTCATTTCTTAGTTTCTGTAACAAATGATGAAGTGACTTGGCAGCGAGCGTCATGAACACACGACAAGGACCAGTTTCAGGGTTTCTGTGTTTTATTGATGATCAGGATGGAGCTGAAAGCTTTCTGCTCAGTTGGCAGCGAGGATCTGATCCACCCAGGAGCGCAGCTCGGTGACGCGGGCGTAAACGCCGGGGGAAGTGGGAGTGCAGGTTCCGCTGCCCCAAGACACGATACCGACCAGAGTCCAGACTCCGCCCTTCTGGCAGACCAGAGGACCACCGGAGTCGCCCTGCAGAACAACAAATAAACAAAGAGATGAGTAAACTACCCAAGCTAACCATCAAAAATCTACCGTACGTCTGCACCACCCACCATGCAGGAGGAGGCCCCGGCGGCTCCGGCGCAGATCATCAGGTTGGTGATCTTGTTGCCCCAGTAACGACTGCACTGCTCATTGGTCAGCAGGGGGAGGGAGGCCTGCTGCAGCAAGGCGGGGGTGTCGGGAGCTGTAACACAAACACATCGCTAATAAACACGGTCTGGGCTGCAGGTCTACGTGCTACAGGTCTACGTGCTGCAGGTCTACGTGCTGCAGGTCTGCGTGCTGCAGGTCTGCGTGCTACAGGTCTGCGTGCTACAGGTCTACGTGCTGCAGGTCTACATGCTACAGGTCTACGTGCTGCAGGTCTGCGTGCTACAGGTCTGCGTGCTACAGGTCTACGTGCTGCAGGTCTACATGCTGTAGGTCTACGTGCTACAGTTCTATGTGCTGCAGGTCTGCGTGCTGCAGGTCTACGTGCTGCAGGTCTACATGCTGTAGGTCTACGTGCTACAGTTCTATGTGCTGCAGGTCTGCGTGCTGCAGGTCTACGTGCTGCAGGTCTGCGTGCTGCAGGTCTACGCGCTACAGGTCTGCGTGCTACAGGTCTGCGTGCTATAGGTCTGCGTGCTGCAGGTCTGCGTGCTGCAGGTCTACGTGCTGCAGGTCTACGTGCTGCCCCCGGTGCAGGTTTCTGTAAGACAACCTCAGTCTGGCTGCACAGAGACTTCAGGTCGTCAGGACTACAAAACATTTAGATTCTGAGCCGACTTGTTAACCTGAGGTTTGATGGGAAACTTTTAAGAGACTATAACCGCCTGAATTTCTCTACATGCCCCTGCTCTCTCCCGATTGGCCGGCTCATGCAGGCGCTCTCACCGTTGTAGCGGGTCAGGCCCCAGCCGCTGGTCACGCACTTCATGCCTCCGGGGAAGTTGTCTCCGGTCTCGGCCAAGCACACGGGGGACACGTGCGTGTTGAGCTGGGCGGGGCTGGCCAGCTTGATGAGCAGGATGTCGTTGTTGATGGTGAAGCCGTTGTAGCGGGGGTGCTTGAACACCTGACAGGAAATGACATCATTATGAGCGGCGAATGCACAGGAAGTCCCCGTCTTGAGATGGAAAGCTGCCGCTGTTTGTAACCCACCTTGCCGACCGTCTTGACCTGGATGTTCTCAGAGTTGGAGGAGCGGTCGTGTTCTCCGAGGACCACGCGGTGGGACGTCCTGCACGGAAAGACACGTTAAAGATCACCTGAGACACCTGAAGAGGCTGACTGACAGGAGGCGGAGCCTCATGGAACTACAGAGCATGTTCAGTGTAGGAGACAGGATGAAGGAGACAGGATGAAGGAGACAGGATGAAGGACGAAGGAGACAGGATGAAGGAGACAGGATGAAGGACGAAGGAGACAGGATGAAAGAGACAGGACGAAGGAAGAAGGAGACAGGACGAAGAAGACAGGATGTAGGAGACAAGACGAAGGATGAAGGAGACAGGATGTAGGAGACAGGACGAAGGACAAAGGAGACAGGATGAAAGAGACAGGATGAAGGAGACAGGATGAAAGAGACAGGACGAAGGACGAAGGAGACAGGATGAAAGAGACAGGACGAAGGAGACAGGATGAAGGAGACAGGATGAAGGAGATAGGATGAAGAAGACAGGATGAAGGAGATAGGACGAAGGACGAAGGAGACAGGACGAAAGAGACAGGACGAAGGAGACAGGATGTAGGAGACAGGATGAAGAAGACAGGATGAAGGACATAGGACACAAGATATAGGAGACAGGATGAAGGAGACAGGACAAAGGATGAAGGAGACAGGATGGAAGAGACAGGATGGAAGAGACAGGATGAAGGAGACAGGATCTAGGAGACAGAATGAAGGAGACAGGATGAAGGAGACAGGACGTAGGAGACAGGATGGAGGACAAAGGAGACAGGATGAAGGAGACAGAATGTAGGAGACAGGATGTAAGAGACATGATGTAAGAGACAGGATGAAGAAGACAGGATGGAGAAGACAGGATGGAAGAGATAGGATGTAGGAGACAGGTCGTAGGACACAGGATGGAGGACGAAGGAGACAGGATGAAGGAGACAGGATGTAGGAGACAGGATGAAGGAGACAGGACATAGGAGACAGGACGGAGGACGAAGGAGACAGGATGAAGGAGACAGGACAAAGGAGACAGGACGGAGGACAAAGGAGACGGGATGAAGGAGACAGGATTATGGCGGTGGGAGGGGTTTACCTGACGTTGCAGTGGGCGGCCGTCACCACCCAGTTCTCGTTGATCAGAGAGCCGCCGCAGAAATGGAAGCCGGTGGAATCCTGAAACAACCACGAGAGTTAGAGACGTTTGTTACACAATACGTGTTTGTGTTTGTGTGCGTGTTTACCTGCAGGGACACCTGCCAGGGCCAGGAGTGAGGCACCGCCTCCTCGCCGTTCACAATACGAGAGTAACCCGAGATGACGGGAGATATGTCGGGAGAGCCGCAACCTGGTGACATCATCATGACATCATTAACAACATGAATTTGAAAGTTTGTTTTGGGAACAGATTACATCAATCACAAAGTTCAGCTTGTAAGATCTGAGACCCTGAAGTCCTGTAGGAGACGCAGCTGATCACTGCCCCCGACTGCAGCTACAGCGCCACCTGCTGGTTGTTAAATAAAACTTCACTGCAGTGGAGGCTCTGTTCTCTTCTTTTCCCAGCATGCTTCACTTCCTTAGTTAAAAGTTTGTCTCACCGTAGGCGGCGCCGGCGAAGGCGAGGCAGGAGAGGATCCACAGGAAGGCCATGGCTCAATCATGTGGGGTCTCTCTGAGCGAGGAGCTTTTATACAGCCAGGGAGCGACGTGATTGGACGGGACAGGAGAGGACATCTTATCAGAGACGTGGGAGTTTGGGCAGGTGGAGCTGACGCAGAATTTTCCACCTTTGCAGGCGTGAAGGTTAGAGACGTGTTGCTTCAATACGTCGGCCAATCAGAGTCCAGGAAACGTTTTTTTCTCGTGAGTTTGTTCTGATCTCAACGCACCAAGCAGGAAAGCTTACACCAAAAAAACTAAACATTACACATCTCGCATGATGATGATGGTAATATTAATAATATTTTAAATATATTAAATATATTTTTTTTCTTTCTAAAACTTGAGTTTCTGCATCAGTTCCCACAAACGAAGCAGCAGCTGGCAGAAAAAAAAGAGCAGTTTGAAATAAAGTTTGATGTTTATTTCTCAGTTGTTTTACACCATCTGAGTTTATTTTGAAAGGGTGCAGAACCAGAGCTGGACAGCAGCTACAGCTTCTTATGTTAAAATAACCAGGTGGTCCAGCGTCTCTCAAGCTCATCTCCTGGTTGACAACATGGTAAAGTCATTTATCATGTTCGCGACTCCCCTTCGTCTCCCTCATCCTACTTCACCTCCTCCTTTCTTGTTAGCTAAACCCAGTGTTTACGTTTAGCGCTCGAGCTCTGCTTGGTGGGTGAACCGCTGATCTCAAAGTGTTTTCACATGTGGAAGTAAAATAGTAAAATAAAGTGATGTTCTCAGTTTTGATAGGAGTGTGTTATTGAGATACAAGCTGAGTGTAGAGCAAAGATCGTGCGTTCTGTTTGGCTGCACGTGTTGATGGTTTCAGGAGCAGAGCTTCAGGAAGAACTGCCAGCTGATTCTGTTACTGAGCTCTAAAAGAATCTTTCGTTTGGTGTGGTGGTAACAAACACACACACGTGACTTTCAGTTTGGATCAAACCCCAAGCTGAAAGATTTGACTCCTGCAAAACAAAACCTTTAATCAGAATAAAATAAACTTTACACTGAGAGATGAGCTAAGACGACACGATGCATGCTTATCAAAACACAGATACTTGTTTTATCTATAAGATCCTGCGTGGCTTGCTCCCCCTCCTGGTTGATAGACACACGGGGTCTGTGGTAAGAGGTGTTATGCTGCATTCCAGGCAACTTGGAACTTGGAAATTTCCAATCTCCAACTAGAAAAACTACCACCTGAAGTCGGATTTCCTACTTCACGAGTAGCAGCTGAATGACATCACAAAACCAATGGAAGCACACACTGTAAATGGTAAACCATAAAGTAAAAGGCAACAAAAAGTATATTTGCATGTATTTACAATCATATAGTAAAACCTGTTCTGCATGTACATTGATGTAGAAATATGTTGCCTATTAGGTAGCTGGCTACAGTAAAGAATCTCATAAAGTCATCTTCTCTGCATAAAAGGTATTGTTAAAAATGACAAAACATGGGGAAGTGTGACCTACAACATTGACTGACTTGTGGGTTACCAACTGATGTAGCTAGAGGGCTCCACAGTTAACTAGTAACGTAGAGGCTATTTATGTCAGTTGTTGCAGTTAAACTGCCTTCCTTTGAAGTAACACCTATAACACTGCTGAGGGCGCAACTGTGTGCCCACTTTGTCACGGTCAGCCATGGTTTTCGTTCACTTTTGGTGTCATGCACCACCATGCACCTGGAACGCTTTGATGTTGGAAGTCAGAAGTTTCAACTGGGAAATATCCCAGTCTCGACCGGTCTCGAATGCGGCATTATAGCCCCGAGGAGGACGGCCTCAGACAGTCAGAGCAGCTCTCATCATGGGAATCATATCGTTCATTTAAAATGAACTTAAAATCACTTAAAAGACAAAGTGTGTGACCGTCCTCTGTAACGTGCTTTGTCCTCGTTTTAAAGCATCTTATGTGTTCCTGTGAAATGCAGTTAGTTATGTGTTCCTGTTTTAATGTAGTTCACCGTTGACTACAGTCCATCATTAGCCACGCTGGCTAAACTGGCACATTTACAGAAGTGTTTCTTAATGTGTCCTTGTAACTTTAAACTGTAGAAATAAATAAAAGCAGGTTATATTAGATTATCATATATTTCATTGTAATGAGATCAGACAGCATCATATTACAGTTTTTCCTCAAATGCTAAAACACATTTCACAAACGTTTCGTCCATGTTCTCCAATGTCTAAACACAACACCCTTTTCTAAAGCTACATAAACACAACCACACCTTCTCCCTTCAAAACTCAAACTTTCACACCAAAAGAGCAGCTCGAAGCTTTCAAAAATGTAAACACTATACACATCATTACACACTACAGCAAAACAATTGAAAACACAATGCTCAATTTGTGAGAAGGTTCTTTGTTTCATAACTGCCAATGCATATTTTTAGAAACTTTACAATAATGGATCTTCTTAGATCTCTGCAGAGGATTGGGCATTTAGATTTGTGAGTTTCATATGAAGAGTATAAATCTATAGTAAATTCTGTACACTACTGTAACACAGAATCTATTGCACACAACAGTACTCTTGAAAACATGATCAGGGTGTGAAGTTTTTTTTTATTTACACCACAATCACTGTGCGGTATCATGTCGCTGAGCTGCATCGGGCCACATCACCTCATCCACATCGCAGGCTATATTGTCTCTTGCCAGGCACCGCGGGAAAAACGCCCTGGAATGGCGGATCCATCCTTGGAAGTTCTCCCCTGGGATGTCAACACACGCCAGCTCCATTGCCCTTAGGAGGTTCTCTCTAGTGTATGGTTGTCTGTCATAAACCTTCCATCTCCACGATGAGAAGAACTCCTCTATAGGGTTCAGGAAAGGGGAGTAGGGTGGCAGACAGACGTTTAAAAAGTGGTTACTGTTGGTGGTGAACCACTCTCTGATTTGGTTTGTTCTGTGGAAGCGTACATTGTCCCAAATGATCACATAAATGGGATGTTCGGGCCCAGGATGGTGTTGTTGGCGGTCCAGGAGGATATCTTTTAGCTCCTCTAGGAAGGTTAGGAGACGTTGGGTGTTGTAAGACCCAAGGACAGCCTGCCGGTGGACAAGCCCCTCCAAACCCATGGCCGCACAAAGAGTAATATTACCCCCCCCCCCCCCCCCCCCGTTGGCCAGGAACCTCAGTGATGGCTCTTTGGCCAATGATGTTACGGCCTCTTTGCCTTCGTTTCTGCAGGTTGAAGCCAGCCTCATCCAGGAAGAGGTACTCATGAGGTCTGGCCATCGCGTCCAACTGTAATATCCTCTGTGAAAATGCACAGGTGTTCAGAACAACAGTCAATCAGGTAGCATAGTATTGTCCAGAAGTAATGTAGGCCACTGAGCAACACAGTATGTTCACTAACTGTACTGTGAACATGGATGTATACTTACTTGCACATACCTGTAACGTAGGTCTTTGTGTCGTGCAGAGTTTCGCTCAAAGGGAACCCTATAGACTTGTTTCATCCGCATCTTTTGGCGCCGGAGAACTCTGTCTATTGTGGCCAAGCTGACATCATCAATTCCCTCAAAGTTCACATTATCGGCAATGACTTTGTCTCTGATCTCCCGGAGTCTGATGAGGTTGTTCTCACGAACCATATCCACAATGAGGGTTTCTTGTGCCGCTGTAAATATGGCAACCCTCCCACCTCTATGTGGCATTCTTTCAACTCTAAAGAAAGAAACGTGTTGTCAATTGACATGTTTTACAATACAGTAACAACTGATTTGAAACTAATAGACTACTTTCACAGGCTTGTAAAATTGTATTGTGACAAAGAAAGCAATAGAGTACAATACCTGTTGTGTTGTCTGAATGCCCTGATAATGGTGGCCACGGTGAACCTACTCAGGTTTGGACGGACTCTTAGTCCTGCTTCAGCCATTGTCATGCCATGGACAATGACATGGTCAATGACTGTTGCTCGCATCTCGTCCGTAATGATGGTGCGAGGTTGTCTTGCTCTCCCTCCTGGACCTTCTCCTCTCCCTCGTTGGCCTCCTCCTCTTCCTCCCTGGCCTGCTCCTCTTCCTCGTTGGCCTCCTCCTCTTCCTCCCTGGCCTGCTCCTCTTCCTCCTTGGCCTGCTCCTCTCCCTCCTCTGACTCGATTACCTCTTCCCCTGACTCTGCCTTCATCCATTGTGTTTGTTTCGAATCTTCAGCAAACTGTGCACTCTGAACTTGCTTTTATACATGTGGTCACAGCATTAGCAACAGGTGTTTTCAATTTTGAGTCGTTGTGTGTAATGAATGACGCCAGGTGTGTTCATTTTGTTCAAATATTGCTGACTGTGGCAAGCATTTTGCATCACATGAGCTTTCATTTGAGAATATGAGCAGAGTTCTTTTGCAACTTGTGTTTTAGCAAGGAAAAATGTGTTAAGATTTATGTGAACGGAGGATTGTGTTTTGTGAATTGTGTCTTCATGTGAAATGTGTTTATGATATTGGAAAATGATGGCTAGATTTAGTAAATGTGTTTAGACAACTGGTCATTTGGTTTAGAGGATTGGCTTTTGTGTTTTAGCATTTGAGAAAAACTGTAAAATATCTTGCTGCATATTATGTTATACTGTGTTTGAACTACTGCGTCTTACTTTATGTGTAAAGTGGATCTGTGTTTCCATCTCAGCAGACGTGGTTCAGCGGATCGGTACATGATTACAGGTTATTGTGTCTCAAGTTCCAGTATCACTTTGGGACTAATATCAGAACCTTCACAGTCTTTTTCAAAACTCTTTGCTACGCTCAGTCACCTGGCTGAACGCTGCAAATGTAGAGACAGAGGTGGAGCAGGTAAGTTGAAGGTGTTTATTCTAACCAATGGTGAAAACTTACAGGTGCAACAACAATGTCCATAAATCCAAAGGTGAGAGTAGTCCACAAGAAACAAGAGACTACTCGCACAAAATCCACACTGGAAACACAGAACACTCTGGTAACACACGCAAAATCAACAATGAACTGGCTGCAATGTGTTCTGATGTGGATCAGTGTGTTCTGATGTGGATCAGTGTGTTCTAGTGTGGAATAACATGTTC